TTCCTCCATGCCATCCAGTTCAAACACTTCCCTCCATCCTTTCTACTTCTTTCAGTGTATGCCTGTGATAGTTTCTTCTCCCATTCACTCTCTCTTCTTCCATCCCTCCCCCTTCTGACCGTTCAAACTATTCTATTTGGCTCTTTCATCCTCTCTTGAATTTCTCTCCTCACTGTCCTCTCTCTCTCTAAACCTTCTGGTTCTGTCCTCTAGTGCAGTGATTCCCAGCCGAGGGTATGCAAACCCCAGGGGTTACATAAGCAGGAAGTACTTAAAAGATTTTGTTTTTTGCTAAACCCATATGAAAGAAATTACTCCTTAAAATATTAGGGCTGCTAATAGATTAAAATAATTGTTTACAATTATTCATCATGATTTGGTTTGTACTTTTTGTATGTTATAATGTTAAATACACTACTGTTCAATTTTTTTTATCGGTTTCTTTTTATACTTTCATTCAGAAAGGATGCATTACATTGATCAAAAATGACAGTAAGACAAATACTTTTACAAAAGATTTCCATTTCAAATAAATGCTGTTCTTTTGTACTTCCTATTCATTAAATAGCCCTGAAAAAATGACACATTTTTCCCTCACACAAATATTAAGCAGCACAACACTATGCTTGATTCCTTAACTTTATTTATAACTAGATGTATGACAGCTAAATGTTTTCAACACTGATAATAATAAGAAATGTTTCTTGAGCAGCAAATCAGTATATGTGACCCTGGAGCACAAAACCAGTCTTAAGTCGCTGGGATATATTTGAAGCAATAGCCAAAAATACATTGTATGGGTCAAAATTATTGATTTTTCTTTTATGCCAAAAATCATTAGGATATTAAGTAAAAATCATGTTCCATGAAGATATTTTGTAAATTTCCTACTGTAAATATATTAAAACTTAATTTTTGATTAGTAATATGCATTGCTAAGAACTTCATTTGGACAACTTTAAAGACGATTTTCTCAATATTTTGATTTTTTTTGCACCCTCAGATTCCAGATTTTCAAATAGTTGTATCTCAACCAAATATTGTCCTATCTTAACAATTTTATTCAGCTTTCAGGTGATGTATAAATCTCAATTTCGAAAAATTGACCCTTATGACTGGTTTTGTGGTCCAGGGTCACATATTAGAATGATTTCTGAAGGATCATGTGACACTGAAGACTGGAGTTATGACTGCTGAAATTCACCTTCGCTTAATTAGTTATTGAAAACAGAAACAGCTATTTTAAAATGTTATAATGCTTTACAATATTCATGTTTTTACTGTATTTTGATCAAATAAATGCAGCCTTGACAAGCATATGACATTTCTTTAAAAAATATTCCTGATGAGCCCAAGCTTTTGAACAGTAGAGTATGTACTACATAGACAGAGGCAGATTTCTATGTCACTTGATAGAATGATCACTGTAAATCATATCCAGCATAATATGAATTCAAATTAAACATTTCTGGTTTGTGCTGATTAAGGGGTAATTGAGCCGTAGTGAGGGGGCTGTACGGGTCAAAGAAGGTTGGGAAACACTGCACTTTTCCCCCCCCATGCTTCTGTCCTCTCATTTCCCACATCTTACCCATCTCTTCCAGCTCTGATGTCATGGATTTGGAGCGCAGAGCGATAGCTGGTGTGCTCAGCCTTTTACTCTGCTGTGGGACTGTATGAAGAGAGCGAGAGAGAGAGAGAGAGAAAGAGTGTCACTGGTGTCCTATGATGATCATCATGTAACACTTCACTGTTGTCTCTGCTGTGTGAATTTGTATCTCTTACTTTTCTTTCGGGCCCCTTCCTCCATATCAGGGTTCCGGGTAACCATGACAACCTTGACCATGAGGCTGTTGCTGCCTTGCCTGATCATATTGACCACCTGCCTGTGTCCCACCTTAACCACATTCTGACCATTCACCTGGAAAAGAGAAAGAAACAATATACAGAAAGATACAGAGACCTTGAGTAATGAGAACACTTCTAGAGAGACTTGAAAGAATGACAAAGAGGGAAGAACAGAATATAAGTTCCATGATGCAGTTCTGCAGACACCTCGATAAGGAAGTCTCCCATTCGCAGACCAGCTCTCCAAGCCACGCCTCCCTCGTCGACAGACTCAAGGTACTGCAGTGCTGGAAAGGCTGGGGTGGGAGTGAACTCTTCTATAGGGGTCTGAGCTACAAAGAGAGGACATTTATATAATCAGTGTAGTGTGCCTGTCCAGAATGTTCTATTGAGGTTGACAATACATGGACAATAATGAGAAAACACGAGAAAAATAAAAGATGAACAGTGATAAAAGATTGTGTCAAATGTTCTCATTCCAGTTCTGGAACGCATCAGTATAAATGTGTGCGTAAGAGATAAAGAGCAAGAGTGAATGTGCCCTCTTATGCAGTGTGTGAATTATTCAATGACTTTCAGGGGGGGTCGATTTATTAAAAGATTTTTTGCCAGTAGTTTTTGGAGCACAGTCTTTTTTGGGTAATGTCACACAACTGTTTTTTGTCACCCCATGCCAATGACTTTAATAACAAAAACAGAGATTTTTAGGGTGCAAACACGGCACTTTAAATTCTGGGACTTTCTAAACATATGCATTCATTATCAGGAGCACAACACAAACTGCTTGCATACAGTTTAATTACAGAAGTTACTGTTGTTCTGGAAGAAAAAGGAGGCTCCGACAGTCAAATTATGGCTTGGAGAGAAGATTTCTACTTTACATTTGGAGGGGTTAGAACCAGAAGGGCGTAAGTGACATTTCCCCAACTTTACAGGAGTGCCAACACAAACTGCTTGCATACAGTTTAATTACAGCCAAGAAGTTACTACTGTTGTTCTGGGGGAAAAAAGGAGTGTCTCTCATGTAAGCTATGGCTTGGAGAGATGATTTCTTCTTTACATTTGGAACAAATTAGGTACTACCTGAAGGGAAAATCTGAGCAGTTTAACAAAATCTAGCACCCGTTTCTCAGTTATCTTGATGGAAACTCTACGGAGTAATGCATCATTTGTTAATATTAATCAAATATTTTAATATTTTTTCATCATACTTTACAATTTAATGCAAACAGGTCTGGTAAGGGATGGTTTGTGATGTTTTTTTTTCTTCTCTTTTCTAATTTTGATTGTGACGAAATATGTAAGATTGCAAATTCATCTTCAAAATCTTTGTCTTTCAATAAAACTTACTTGACAAACAAAGATGACAAAATTTTATGTGATATATGATCCTGTTAATGAGTGTCTATTTACTGCATAATGACAAATCTGTGATCTAACTTTGTGGCTACTGAAATGCTGAAACATAAATTATTATATAAAAAAATATTATGCACCCTGCACTTACCCTTGGCTCCTCTCAGCACAAAGCCAAAACCTTCATTGTCTTTTTTCTGCAGGAGGACTGTCTTCTCCTTGATTATATAGTCACTGAAAGAAAGAAAGATAGATTTTGGGGTAGAAGAGGCAGATAAAAGAGGACAGAAGACATGGTAAATATCTCCACTGCATCAGGAAAACACTTAAACCCTGAACAAGCTATTGAGTGAAGGAGGTGGAGGGGGGAGGGTCAGAGGCCAGAGAAAAGCGGAGTTCAGTGTATGAACCATAGACAGAATAAAAACAGGTATGAAAGCATACATTACAGGACAGCCTGTACTGACTCTTTAAAGGTGAAGTGCGCAATTTGTTTTCATTGCTAAAATTCTTCTATGCCAGTTTAATGTGCTTTTCATTAGTGGGGAGGCACAGATGTCACATATGAATGAAAAATATATACTTACTATTTTTTCGTCCGCAATGTTGCTTCTAAAAGCTGTTTTTTTTATGGTTATTTCAACTACACGCTGAAATTACCTAACTAAAAAATACCTAAAAACCAAGCTCGGCTCAAAATTTGTACAATATTTCCAAATAGCAATATGCAAGATGAAAACATACAGCTTTGTTTTAAAATTAAAACAGTGCCATATAATAACTTTTCCTTTAATTTTCTAAAATATTTAAATATTTAAATATATGTCCTCTCAGTAAGATTTTTAAGAGTGTTTTACAAAAGGTTTCTATTTCAAATAAATGCTGTTCTTTTGAATTTTCTATTTCACAACAATGTATCACTGTTTCCACAAAACATTAACATAACTGTTTATAACATGGCACAACTGCATGTTTTCAACATTGATAAACAAATGTTTGAGCACCAAAATCAGCATATTATAATTATTTCTGAAGACTGAAGTAATGACTTCTGAAAATTCAGCTTTGCTATCATAATTCTATCAAATTATATTTTAAAATCTATTAAAATAGAAAACACTATTTAAATTTAATATTAAATGTAAAATTATAATCATTTCCCAATATTACAGTTTTTACTGTATTTTTCATCCAATAAATGCAGCCATGGTGAGCATAAGAGACTTCTTTCAAAATGTTTTAAATATCTAACTGACCCAAATTGAATGGTAAGGTAAGTTTAATACATATATCATACAAGTAAGCCATTGGTTGTAGCTGAAAGTTGAAAGCTGTCCCACTAGTGGTTTCCATTCACAGCAGAGCCCATCTGACTGACACCACAGCTTTGTTTACAATACTCTGGCATCCATGCTCTTGCGTCAACAAGTGCACTGCAGTTCAGAACACAATATCCCCATCCTTCAGCTCTGTGTTCAGGAGACTTAACCAACTGTATCCTTTCACTGCCCCAGGACCAGAGGAGAGGGACTAGGGGGATGGACTGAGTCGATGCAAAACACAACGGCAGGTCAGACCACACACGGCCATTCTCCTGCTGTAAACAGTGTTACAAGCACAATTTGGCGGGAAACCAGTTACAGAGGCTTGATTTGAAGGCTGTCTGAAGTTCATCCATCGAACAAACCTTCTCGAAATTGTGCCAATTTTGAATGGAGCTCAAATGTCAAACAGCAGAAGACGGGGCAGGACAAGTTAATCTACTGCAATATCACGATCATGTTGTCCTGTAGTTAGGAAAGAGACTGCAGATCTTCTATGTCATGTTTGTATGTGCAATGGGCACTGTAAGTGAGATGCTGGCGGTTGCCTGAGCAACGGCCAGAACTGGATATAGGAACTAGCCAGACTAATATGTAGACATGCACAGTGAGTGATACAGTACACACACTTGGCAGCCATATTGAACAGAATTAGTCATTCAGCATTCCAATGTTCACCTCGAAGGGATCTCAACAAAACACCCAAGCATAATGTTTTCCAAATCAAACCAGTGTAAGCTGGGCCAAGTACATAACTGGCCACAGCAAGAATAAAAAAAATGGCAAAAGCCTGGTTGTTATGTCTGAGATCATGTCTATATTTAGGCAAAGGACTGTTTGCTCGGAATAGTAAAAGGTGAGGCAATGTAATCTCAATGCTTCATTCAATGATTTGCAGAGGTAGTGAATATTTGACACAGAATCCACAGAATTGTGAGATCTATATTTTATAAATATATACAGAGTTCTGGCATTAAACTCTAGATGGCGCAGTCCGATAGGTCTAACTCAATCTGACCTAATGACATCATTATCACATGGCACAGCTGATTGGTTCTCTCCTGTATCGGTAGCCAATGAGCTGCTGCTCAACATTCAAATATATGACTAGTGCTTGCCATAGCAGTTGCAGCTTGCTTCAGAAACTCTCCACCTTCCCCAGCTCCACCTGTATAGATCTGCTACGAGGTGATTCATGTATGCTATATGGGGGTTATTTCATGTATGTTATATTTGCAGCAGCACTATTTCTTACATGCTCACAGCAGCATGTTGTGGATGTATTGGCTATATATATATATATATAGATATAGATATATAGAATACTCATTACTTAAACATATCAGAAAAAACACAATTATATTTTATATTTAAATATATACACACACACACACACACACACACACACACACATATATATATTTTTTTACATTATGATCTTTTCACACGATGAACAGTCTACCACAAAAATATGTCATTAATAATTTGCAATATGAAGGTAAAATAATAATAATAAATTTTATTGTTGGTGGGGCTAGTGAAAGTGATTATAAGGCATGTAAAAATCTTTATGTAAATAGAAAAAAATCGTCACAAACCCTAGTTGTGTCCCCTGTTGTCTTTATGCAATATTCTATGCTATTTTGTAGTATAAAAACCATAGCATGTTCACACTGAAAACTTCAAAAAACTAAGTGTGGAATTTTGGACACTTCATGCACTCAACTGTTGCAGTTTTCATTACATAGAGTCCTTTATCAGATTTCAAAATTGGATGATAAATAGGCTACATGTAAAATTCATACACTAGACTAGACAGTTGAATACACAGCATAAGTGCACTGTGTATAGTATGTCAATTGGGACACAACTCATATGTTTATGCTTCTTAATGAGTGTATACGGGACTCCAGAATGATTCACGAGCAGTTCAGTCATTATAACACTCATTCAGTCTCTGCTCTGATATATTTGTGAATGTGTGAAGTCAGTAGTCAGTTATGCTGATACTTAGATGGTATAGGTTTCAGTAAGTTAGATGAGTCAGTTACTGTGTTAGTGAGTCAGTGTGGTTGTTTGTCCAACAGTGTCTCTGCTAGTCCATGAGTCATATGGCCAGTGATTTCATGAATCAAGTGCAGCAGCTCTGATAAACGCCATCAGAAACGCTGCCTTCATGCTATACAGCTACAAACCCAGATGCTGCAGGTGTGCATGTACAGCCCAGAGCCATGTGTCTCCTTTCATCCAAGATGAAGTGTTTTGGGGAATCTTAATGTGATAGTGGCATTAAAGCAGCGCTCGACTATAAGGTCAGTGTAAGAGAGATTCAGGCCAGTGTTGCGCTCGTGTTGTTAATGCACTACCACAGTTTGTGGGCTTGTTCAGTAGCAGTTGTGCAAGTGGGAAACAACCAAGCAAGCACACACAGACTCACAATCGAGTCCGCACAGGGACATATATTAGTAAGTGAACGTGTGAGTGTATTGAACTACATTATATCACTCTCCTAGAATGCCCTTGGGTGCCCCGGGTTGAAAACCATGAAAATGAAAAGCCTGAACAGTGGTGTAGGATTTCAGGTATGGCAATTTTAAAATACTAATACTGCAAGTTCTACATTCACAATGCAAGAAATTCCTGCATACATTTATTTACTACAGAAGAGAGCAAATTAATCCACAGAAATGAACAAAACTAAACGAATTATGCACTGAAAGAAAATGTTTCCCTAAAGGCGGGCGTACACGGTGCGATTCTGAAGGTCGGAACATCGTGAGCTCTGGCACATGTCACGATTGAGTTTATCCGAAAATCGTACGGAAGCTCGTACGACAGCAAAAATCGCACCGTGTACGCCTGCCTTAAGGGCAAGTTATTTATTGTTCATTGGCTCAAGTTAAAAAATATATATTTTTAATTGGATGAATGAAAATTTTTTTTCAGTGTGTTAATTAAATGAATTATTTTAAATCATTTTGAGTTTAGTGAGCCTGCAAATGTTGATATTACTTACACAGTAAAGGAAGTGCCTTTTTTGTGTTAACGTCTGTTAAAACTGTTAAGTTTGCAACATGGCAGGTAAAATATTTTGTAATAAAGGACACAACTAGACCAAGCCTGTACACTGCCAAACTTCGCCACAAAACAGTTAGTATAAAGGGAGGATTAAGAGGGCAAAAGTTAATACCATGTGTTTAGCAATTATATGTGTAATATATGCATACAGTGCCCTCCATAAATATTGGAACAGTAAAGACAAAATTGCTCTGTTTGCTGTGGAGTCAAGACATTTGCAAATATGATTAAAAGATGAATATGAAACAAAACTACAGAATGTCACATTTTATTATTAGCTGTTTCAACACATAAATGTTTTACCAAATAAAAAGGACAGCACTTTTAGAGTTCATCCCACTATCTGATGTGGGCACAAGTATTGGAACAGTTGAACTTAAAGGTGGGGTATGGATTTTTTGAAAAACGCTTTAGAAAACTGAGTCGGGCCGAGTTCTAAAACAAACTTGTAGCCAATCAGCAGTAAGGGGCGTGTCGTGTGATGTGGAGGAGAGAGCGCTCAGTGCACAGGATGGACATTAGCCGAGTGGAGAGACGAAAGAAAGATAGAGATGGCGGATAAAAAACAAAAGAGGAAAACGTCTGCGGAACAAAAGAAGGCTTACGATAAGGCAAGAAGTAGGACCCGTGTAAATTTCGGATCAGCTTTCCAGTGCTGGAGAGAACTCAAGGAGCGGGAAGGCCTGTGATCGGATGCAGAGGTTGCTTTGATTCTTCTCGATAGGTGAGTAACATTGGTTTTGCTTTGTTTCAAAGAACTAATATTTGCTGGCTTTTGCTTGAATATGCTCGTGTGTCATGTTCGCTTGTTTGTTCATCTGCAATCGTATTGTC